GGTAACTTCTTTAAGAACAAAAACTATGTTTCTATCCATAACCAATAAGACTTAAGTCACACTTATATATGTAAACACACATGCACATGTACCGACATGCAGAGTTCAAAAGAGGGGTGTTAAATACTTTTTTAATGTAAGATGTACCTTGGTAATAGTTGACTTTTTCTTCATTTTCCCTAAAGTCAAATAGGAATCACTCAAGTTTACCTAACTACTGAAATTGAAAAGGTAAATGTATATGTAGCTTGCAAAAATCTGATTATTTTAATAACAATCAAATTAAAATCTCAATTACTTTTCTGTTTTGAAAAAATAAAAACAAACCTAGTATGTTCTCTGAGTATTTCATCCAGATAATAAAAACACTTAAAATGAATCTACCTTTGTAAACAACTGGAATTTCAAAATAATAATTTCTCCTCTTTCATACTTGAGGAAACTATTTTAAGCACATGATCACATTTTTTATGTAAGAATCTGGTACTCTGCTGGTTGCCACCCAGAGTTATCATACAATATATTCTCTTTGCTTTCTAAAGTATTTTAGACCTAAAAATGTTGGAAGAAGCTAAAAAAAAAATACTAAGAAAGTGAACCCTTACAAACAATATGTTGACACATTTGTATATATCAGGTACTTGCATGAAATTCCCAGGACTTTAAAGGAGTCCTGGAAGGAACTGAATACAGAAGGAATTCCTCCCAATACATTATACATAAAAATGCTGAAAAAATATGAGATGTTTAAAATGCAGAGTCAGTGTTAAAATAAATAAAAGAATGCCTCAGTCACCAGAACCATGGAAGAAACTCAAATACTGAATAGTAAGTGGAAGTTCACAGGGGTGCTGACCCTGCCTGTATCAAGGCCAGGGCTAAGTTTTCTTTTTTGCACAGGGACAGGAGGTGAGGTCTGAAATAAGAGAGGCAGAAAGATGTGTGTTATTCATGAATGTTTGGGACACAGATTTTCTTGCAAAAAAGGGACTACATAAACTCTGCTCAGGGACCTGTAGAAGTGGCAGAATTGAATCAGCAATTGAGAAAATTAGTAATTCAGAAAAGAGATCTGAGAAAACAAAAATGTCTTAGAGTTGATAAATAGGACAACTTAAATAAGAAACATAAGTTAGCAGAGATGGAAGATAGATTATGAAAACTCAACATACTTTACTCATAAGGTTCTAGAAAGAAAGCAGAAAATGGTAGAGACGGAATAGACAAAAGGTGAATAAAAACATTTAAGAATTGAAAGGGATACAAGTCCACAGATCAAATAATAAAACATATATTTTGAGAGTTAAAGAATGGAAAAGATGTTGGGAAGATGGTATAGCAACATTATTATTAGAAAAATGGGCTTTCAGATAGAAAGCATTATTATAATAAAAGATGCCTGTTATTTAATAATAGAAGGATCAATTCAACAGGGAAACAAACCATTCTCAATTTTTATAAGAGAGCCTCAAATTATTCTATATCAAATATCACAGAATTATAAGGAGATTGATAAACCCAGATTAATGTTTGGAGAATTTGTGGTAACTTTCTCAGAAATTATAGATTTATCTGATAAGAATTAGGGGAAATATAAACAATTTCAATGGTTTGATTAATAGACTTTTATCTATTTGTAATACACAGTATTTCAACCTAATAGTAAGAGAATAATGTTTACTAGATCAAATAGTTGATACCATAAAATTTAATGTTTCTGACTACAATATAACATTTTCTCAGAAAATAAAGTTAGAGGGCTGGTATTGTGGCTCAGTGGTGGAACACTCGCCTAGCATGGGCAAAGCTCTGGGTTGTATCCTCAGCACCACATAAAAATGAATAAATAAAATAAAGGTATTGTGTCCAAGTATAACTAAAAAATAATTTTTTTAAAAAATATTAGAAACCAACTGGAGGGGGTCGAGAAGTAATGCCAAACTCAAATATTTAAAAACTAAAAACCATATTACCTCATTGATAATTAAACAAAGTTACATATTATATCTATCATTTCTGTCTGCTTCTATCAGTAAGTCCATCCTCAATACTGTGGGGTGGAGGTAAAAAAAAATTTAAAGAAAAATGCATAACTGTAAACAGGAATAAGTTAACTTCTCCTATTGCCTTGGCTTGGGCATGTAGCACCCCCTGCTTCCTGAAGACCTCTCCGTGGACTGTCATGCCGGTGTGAATGCTGTCATGAAATGGTCCATTGAAATACCACTCTGTTGGTATTTTATTTTAAAAGTTATTTTATCAAACTTTCTGAAATGAACCACAGATCTCAGAATGTACATTTATCATCAACAGCCTTAGAAATGAGTACAAACATCTCAAGCTTTAGATTGATAACATTGTTTCCTGCTCCCATTAAAGTTTAAAGAGTTATCCCTTCCCTTGAAAGATAAGCTTTCTAGTGCAAGTTCTACCTTATTACCAAGCATTGGCTGCATTTCAGAATTATGGATTCAGTGATTTCAAAATCCATATTCAAAAGGAAGAGTGACCTTATACTATGATGATCCTGTTTTTTTCTTATTTAAACTTCCTTTCATCCAGCATTATACAGAAAAACGCAAATCATATTGCCATTCAGGGTAGCTTACAAATATATATACTATATGTATATATGTATATATATTACATAATATATAATTTATATATTACATACATGTGTATATACATGTATATAATACATATATATACATGCATATATTATACACATGTGTATATAATATATGTATGTCTATCTGCCCAATGATATAATTTTTCAGTCTCCTAAGTAATATTTTTATTTATATTTACTTTGCCATAACTTTTGAAAGTATGTTATCTTTTGGTCTGATAACTGGTAAATGGATGAGAAACATATTAAGATAAATTAAAGCCATATATATAAATCTGTCCTGCTTCTGTGGCTCCAAAATCTGCAGTTACATATGACACCAAGGAACCATGAAAGCAGTGGAAGTAGGATAAATTTTTGAGGATCCTAGTACATCATGCATGAAGAGGTCCCCCAAATCACACAGATTGAACCTAGGAACATTAGGTGGGTTAACTTGAGCCTCAGCCCTTCTTTCCCTGACTTGGTAATTCAGTGTTCTTTACCCAACATGACACTGAAAGAACATGAAAGTGATGAGCTTGTAATTTCTGTGACCATGGTAAAAATGCTGGGTGTGGTGATGTTCACATCCAAGGCACAAGGTTTTATTGTGAGTCTTGGGCTCTCAGTGGAGAACCAGATATTTAGGAGCACTGTGAACCAGATATTTAGGCAGCCAATACCCCTTAGCTGGCCCCCACTACTGCCCTGAGCAAATTACTAAGCAAACTTCTGTTGACCATCTTATGAGAAGATGGAAATTGCTATAAAGCAGTTTTTGCATAACTGCTTCCTTAATCATCTAGCTGAACTCCACTGCCGTGTCACCTCTTCTAAAACCCCACCAAGGATTCCAATCTCAGAGTAAATGTGAAGGACTGAAAATGACCCCACAGAACCCTAGGATATCTTACACCTATGGCCTCTCTGCGCTCATGTCAATCCTTAAAGTCTGAAACCAAGCCTAGCTGACAGAAGATACTTTCTCAGAATTCAGTGATTGAAAGAATGAAAACTAAAGATCTTTTATTTTATTTTAGCCCTAATAGTTACCTATCTTTTGTTTTTTTTAAACTTAACTTCATTCTTTTCTTCAAAGCAGGTTCCTTATTCTTGGTTCATTTCCTCATTCATGGTCCCTCTCCTCCCAGTATTGTAATATATCTCCACATATTTAATAATAACATGTGGAGCACCAATTCTGTGCCAGGGACTTCCTAGGTGCTTCTGAGACAGACATTCCTAGTATTTAAAATTCTTCCACTGGGAAACAGGCTCACAGAGATTCAGCTAACTTCCTTAAAGTCCCTCAGCTCACAAATGAGGACTTGATCTCTTTGCCCATTTATTTAGCCCCTTGTGATTTTTGTCCCACAGCCGCAAGCTGCGGCAGTTAGGATCTGCAGATTTTCCTCACCTCTTTATCCTGGACTCATACTCTATCTTCTGTTTGGTCATTTCCTGTTTCAGGCTGGAAACTAAACTGTGCAGTGCACTGTGGCTGCTGGTGTTGTTACCAACAAATGTCTCACTGTTGTCACTGCTGCTGGTGGCACGACTACTTCGACCTCCCACGCTCCTCCGGTCACTTTTGCTTTCATAGTCCCCAGGATGGGAAAGATCGTCCTGTGGGGGACCATCCAAAACAGGATCCTCAAAATTCCCACCATAAAAGTCTTGCTCTGGACAGGTGGTGGTGGAGGAGCGGCAGGAATTGGAGTTCTCGGGGAGGGAGATTTCACAGGAGGAGGTGGACCAGGTGGCACTGTCCACACTCTGTTTGTCATCAAGGTTCATCAAGGAGAACTGCTGATGGACATTGTCGTAGGTGGAGAGTCGGTTGTGCTGGCCCGACTCTGCGGCTGGCTCCTTTGGCTTGTTATCCCTCAGGGTCACATAGCCGTTTGGCAGCCAGCTCATGCTTCGACCATTCACGGGGTTCCCCAATGTGTCGGTGTTCAAAATGCCCATGCGCACTGTTCCGTTCTGCACACTGTGGGTACCCATTTTGGTTCCAGGTCCTTTCAGTGAAGAGGTCCTTCTGGCTTGTAAGCTCCCATTGGGGGTGGTCTGAGTTTTCTCCAGACCCTCTGCATTGCTGCTGCTAAAGGACCCATTGGTGACTATCCCACTGCCCTTATTGAAGGCTGGGTTCTTTTTGACCATGAGAGGGGGACTCCTAGACACATCCAGCTTGTGGATGCTATTCCTGGGGCTGTTGTTTTTGCTGCCTGATAGAGCTGGGGGGGATCCATTGTCCAGGCTGCTTCTCTGGGGAGACTCAGACTTGTCCCAAGAGCACCGCCTGCCAGGGCTGTCCTTGGTGTTATTGTTTTCCTTGTTCTGTAACTGACCCATAGTGGCTTTCTTCTGAGTGTCGTTGTTGTTGTTGCTCACTCCGTCTTGGGGCTTGCTTTGCGGTTCTGTATCTTTGGGGAACAGACGATCGTGCTTGCTAATCATCATTGACATCAGCTGCTGGACCACCACAGTGCCTGGAATGGCATAGAAAAGGAAAGTGGTGTGAGGCAGTTTTGATTTATTTTCTATTTGAATGCGACTCTTAAAAAAAAGCATATTTAGGTGAAATTCAAAATTATTATTAGCAGTGCTAATATAGATATATATAAATATATATAAATAGAAGATAAAATCTCTTGAGCATTTATTCTATGCCAATGTGCTATGCCAAGCACTTTCTTTTTGTAGTTTAGTTTGATTTTAAAACAAATATATGGATATGCATTGTTATTATAACTGCATTTCAAAAGATAAATCAAGTGCCTAAGGTCATAAATCTAAGGACCAGATTCTAGGCTTGAACTCAGTTATATTGTTCCAAAGACTGAACCCTTAATTATTATACAACATATATTACAAGCCTGATATTTAATTATGATGACTCTTTCTTAGGAAGAGGCCACTTTGACTACTGGTCTGACAATTGCCTCAAATTATCACTGCATTATGGAAATATCTTTGTTATGGTTTAGATATGAGGTAATCCTGCAAAAGTTCATGTGTGAGTCAAGAAAAAAGGGGTTAGAAATCAAAGATTGTGTTAATGAGGGTCCTAACATAATCAGTGTGTTAATCCACTGATAAGGACTAACTAGGTGGTAACTGACGGAGGTGGGTCATTGGGGGCATGTGTTTAGGGTTTATATTTTATCTGTATTGAGCATAGCTTTCTCTCTCTACTTCCTGGTGTGATGTCCTGAGCTACTTTGCTCCACTACACTCTTCTACCATGATGTTCTACCTCACTCCAGGCCCAGAGCAATGGAATTGCCATTTATGGAAAGAGATCTCTGAAACCATAAGCCTCCAAATAAACTTTGGTCCTCTAATTGTTTCATCATGTCTTTTGCTCATGGCAGTGAGGAAGTTAACAAAACATCTCTAAATATAAAAATTATCTGTGGTGCATGTATGATCTCTTTCTAAAATAGTAAGATGATGAAGTTCCACATGACTTTGCTCACTATCAAAAACTTTGGGACATTTTAAGTGACAAATCCAGAATGGTGTAGTGAGGAGCTACAAAATCTTCTTCTCCATAAAAGCACTAGCAAAAAAATTCAGAATCAACTTATTCAGAATTCTGGAAATTAACTAATGGATTGAAGCAATCTGTAGAGTATTGATTCAAGAAAAGGGGCTGAATCTCTATAAAATCATCAAGCTCTGTGGTGTTTCAACTTGTGCTATCCCCATCCTTTTCTCCTCAGCTGTGCAATAACCTTGAAAACCAATAGTCCATAGTCATAACAAGGACCAAAAGTCTATCAGTCCAGCAGACACTGCAATGGGTACAGGGAGATTGCAACTCCTTCAAAACTCCACTTCCAGAGAATTGTCATATTTTTACCTCTCTGTTAATTCTCTGGAAGTTCCCACTCACAAGGCTTGCTTTTATTTGATCTGATTAGAAGCTTACCGAGGGTGAACAGCATTTTTTTCCAGTGACATTAGTAAAAGATAAAGATAGGCATTTATCTTTATCATTGTGGTGCCTGAGGCAATGGATAACAGTAAAGACAAACAATAAGCTAACTGAGCTTAAAAGGAAAATCTTGGGGATGAGGTTTTCATAGTGGGTTTTGAAATGCTCTGATATATTTTGGGGAACCTAGAAAACCACATGTGCAGTTCAGGTTGTGTGCATACTTAGGAAACCACTGAGAAGGCTGTAAACACTCATCTCTCTCTGAACCTGAGGCTCTGCATAAGCAGGAATTGAAGGCTAAGAAAGTGTTGTCAACTGCCTAGCTGAGTATTGATTTGTCCCAACATAAACACAGAACCCTCTGGCAGAGACAGGGAAACTCATTGACTCCAGGTGTTCAAGGAAATCTCTACCATTAGCTAACAAACCAAGCAGAGACTTTAGAGGACACACAAAAAAATACTAAAACAGACTTTACAGAATTAGTTCAGGAAAGACTAAACAAATGGCAATACATAGCAACATCAACAAACCCTAACAAGAAAAAGAATCCAATATCCAGAATTTTCACATATTAATATTTCCTAATTTTCAACAAAACATTATGAGACATGAAAAGAATTAGGTAAGTATGGCACAAACACAAGTGTCTGTGGAAATCCATCCATTGTATTCATTAAGCAAATGCTTTAAATAAGCTACTCAAAATGTATCCAAACAACTTAAGGAAACTGTGGGAGAGAAAAAAAAAGAAAAGTGAAAATAGTGTGTCATCAAATAAAGAATATCAATAAAGAGAAAGTATATGTACAAAGAATTAGATATTCTGGAGCTGAAAAGTACAATAACTAAAATGAAAAAGTGAGTAGGTGGGATCAAAAGCACACTTAGAAAGGTAGAAGAAAGAATCAGCATACCTGAAAATAGGCCAATTGAGGTTATGCAGTCTGAGAAATGATAGAAAAATCAAGAAAAATGAAAGAATCCTCAGGAATCAATGGGGAACCATCCAACATACCAGCATAACATCTCAGAAGGAGAGGTGAGAGAAATGAACTGAAAGACTATTTCAAGAACTAGTGGCTGGAAACTTTCCCATTTGATGAAAAACATGTAAGGAGCCCTTCAAATTTGAAGCAAAGGTAAATACAAAGAGATTAATACCTCTAAACATCATAGTTAAATTACTATAGGCCAAATAGAAAGAGAATCTTAAAAGCATCAAGAGAGAAGTGACTCATATACAAGAGACCCTCACTAAGATAAACAACTGATATATCATCCAGAACCATGGCAGCGAGAAGGCTAATGAATTTTCAAAATTTCAAATATGAAGGAGAAGTGAAAAAAATTCTAAGATAACTGTTTTAGTTAGCATTTTTGCTGCTATCACTAAAAGACCTGACCAGAACAATTGTAGAGGAGAAGTTAATTTAAGGGCTCACAGTTTCAGAAGTCTGGGTCCATGTTCAGCCAGTTCAATCCCCCAGGGGCTCCAGGTAAGGCTGAACATCATGTTGGGAGCCTGTGGCAGAGGGAAGTGGCTCACATGATGATCAGAAAGGAGAGAGGGGGGGTGAGAGAAAGAGACACTCCACTCTCCAGATATAAAACATATGCCCCATAGCCACGCCCCTAATGAACTACTTCCTCCAGCCAAGCCCCACCTGCCTCCAGTTACCACACAGTTAATCCTATCAGGGATGATTTCACTGATTAGATTAAGGCTCAGGCCCAATCATTTCTCCTCCGAATTTTCTTCCATTATCTCACATGTGAGCTTTTGGCAGATACCTCACATCCAAACCATTGCAATAACAAAAACAGAGAATCTGTCATTAGAAATCTTGTTCTATGAGAACTATAAAAGTGCCAGAAAATTTGAATTAAAAAGAAAGCCTTCAATAAAGAAAAAAAAACTTCTATTAGATGAAAAGTCCATGGTTCTCTTTTATCCTCATAGTTTTACTCTTTACTGTAGAATATGAATTAAAAATTGATGTTGTTATGGTTTAGATACTAAGTGTCATAAAAAGCTAATGTGTGAGACAATGCAGGAAAATTTAGAGGTGAGATGATTGGGTTATGAGAGTCTAATTTGGTGCATTAATCCCCTGATAGGGACTAACTGGGTGGTGACTGAAGGTAGGTAGGGTGGGGTTGGAGAGGTGGGTTGTGCCTTTGGAGTATATATTTTGTCCCTGTGGGAAGAGTAGTTTCTCCTTCCCTGCTTCCTTGTGGCCATGTCCTAAGCCACTTTCCTCCACCACACTCTTCCACCATGATGATGTACTGCCACACCTCGGACCTGGAGCAATGGAGTCAGCTCTGTGTGGACTGAGACTTCTGAAACCATGAGACCTGGGTAGACTCTTCCTCCTCTAAAATTGTTCTTGTTGGATCTTTTGGTCACAGTGACAAAAAAAAAAAATTACTCAGAGGTTTTAGGTATAGACAAAGCAATAACTAAAAGAATAGTGGATAGAAAAGTTGATCTTTTATTGAAAGCATTAATTCAAACTATTAATTGATTTATCATCTATAATCTCAAAATATACATTCACATAGTCCTCTTTAATTTATAAGCAGGGTTTTTTGCTCCCTATACCTGGCTGTGGCAAGTAGGCTTCTAGGCTAGTTTCCCAAGTTAGGGTTCCCAATCCTCTAAGGACCTTACTCTGCATTAATTTTTGTACAGTAAAGCAGTATGAACTCTCACACACATATCACTCATCCTGTGGCTTGAACTCTATCAAGTTTGTGTGTTCATATAATGTTGATAATAGGTCCTAAGAGTATATGGTGAATCAGTACAGAAGGGCAACTTGAGCTTTTGTTAGTAAATGTAGTTTTTACCTAAAAGACTTGCAATGTGAGGTTTAGTGAAGAACATGATGAAAAGGGCTTTTGACAATGTGGTTTCCAGCTGCTAACTGAGGCTGTCAGAGCTGCAGTCTGGCCCGGGGCAAGACTGCTCTTTAATTTAAAGCAATACCTCAGCAAAATAACAAGATAATTCAAACCCAAATTTGGATTAGAAGAAAATATGTTACAGCCCTCTCTATCCTGTACACTCTTTCTGTGATCATTCAAAACCCGATATATTTACAAAGAGTATTTGCCGTGTGTCATACCTACTGCTAGACCAGTGTTGTTTGAATTTTAATGTCCATACAAACCTGAAGATCTTGTTAAATTGGAGATTCTATTCCAGGAGTTATTGGGTGGGATTTTGTCTTTCTAATAGGCTTCCAGATGACAGCAGCAATAACAGGCCACTTAAATTAGAATCACCTGGGAGCTTTGCAATTTCAAGACCCCCCTATAGACCTGTGAATCAGAATTGGCATTTTAACAATATCCCTGGGTGATTCCTCAGAGTTTTAGAGACACTGTGGTAGGTGGGAATGTTTCACATATAACTTTTAATTTAACTTTCTCAAAAGTTTGTGAGATAGGACTTAACATTTTTTTTTTCCAATCAGAAAATCGAGATTCTGAAAGTTAAGCTGCTTGCTCAAGGCACAGATAGATAAGTGACCAAAA